CAAGTGCTCAATAGCCATATGTACCTAGAAACTACCATATTGGACAGTAAAGTTCCAGAACTTTATATAAATGGGAGCATAAAATGCATGCTCTTTGTCTAAGACTTCTTTACTTAGCATGTTTTTGAGATTCATTCATTTGTTATTTTACTCAAAACAAAAGAACAAAATGGAAATTAATGCTCAAGAAGAGTAATATAGAAGATAGGAGGAAAGAAATTGGACTTAAAAAATTCTAATATGTTGTCCTATGTTACAAAAGAACAGATTAGACATACTGATGCACTTTATCCTTTACAATGAGTATGATAAAATATCTTAATATTTTAGGTTAGTCACTAAAATAATAAAAATAGAGTATTTGATTCCCAAATCAGTAGAGAGAATAAAAGTAAATTAAAAACTCAAGCAGCTGAATGAAATGTGGAGGAAAAAAGCAAAGAAAAAAATCACAAAGTGATAGTAAGAAACCTAAATAAATTGGTAATCCTAATAAATATAAACAGGCTGAATGCAGCAATTAAAAGAGACATTTTAAAATACAAATGCTAAACCCAATTAATATTCTAATTGTCAGATATATACCTAAATATAAGAACACATTGGTATGCCTATAATTCTAGCACTTTGGGAGGCCAAGGTGGGAGGATCAATTGAGGCCAAGAGTTGAAGACCAGCCTGGGTAACATACTGAGACTTCATCTCTACTAAAAATGAGAACAAATTAGTTGGGAGTAGTGGTGTGTGCCTGTAGTCCTACTTATTTGAGAGACTGAGGCGGGAGGATCACTTGAGCCCAGGAGGTAGAGGCTGCAGCGAACTTTGATTGCATCACTGCACTCCAGCCTAGGTGACAAAGTGAGACCCTGTCTCAAAACACATACACACACACACAGACATAGACACACAGACACATAGGCACATACACACACACACACACACACACACACACACACACACACACATAGATGCTTTAAGTAAAAGAATGGAAAATGTGTATCTGGCAAATACCAGAAGAAAGCTGATATCTCTATTAATATCAGATAAAATATTCATGAGGAAAATGGATTAAACATGCTTATGCAATGTAATACAACGGTGAAAATTAATGACCCTTTAAGATACATACATATGTAGTAAAACAAATTAAATCATACATTATAGTGATAAACCAGATTCTAAATAGTAGTGTTGAATGCTGGTTCTTTCAATATTATTGACATAACCTGTTGAGTTTGTTTGCTTATCGTGGTAAGAAAGCACAGCAACTTCTCAAAACTTTGGTAGTATCTCAGAGGAGAAAAGACAAGGTCAGAATTTATTGAGAATTCAAAGTTTGTTTAAAAGTTGGTCTTTCAATATTGGGACTTCATTAGGATTGGGTATATATCATAGTTTGAGGTTAGTGCAAACAGTAAGAAGACGATTTTGAGGAGAGATATTCCAAGAGTGTTAAGGCACAAACAGTTGGTTGACACTTTCATTGCAAAGCTGATAATTCTTTTGGGAAGTTCCTATAATGAACAATCAAACCACCTTCCTGCACAAGAGTGTCCTGGAAGACTCATTTTAATGTAGAAAGTTAGGTATATGGGGTAGAAGGGTACAGAAATTTAGTCCCCAGTGTCCAAGCTGGTAGTAGGGGTAGCTCATTTTAGCTCTAAGAATTTAGGGAAGAGGAATAGGATCATAGAGATATATACAGGGGCTTCAACTCTGCCTGTAATGTTTTATATCTCTTAAAAAATCGGAAGCTAATATGGCAAAATGTTAAGAATTGTCAAAAGTAGGTTCACAGGTAAAATGGTTTTTCTTTCCTAATTGTTTTTGCATTTTTCTACAGGCTTAAGATCTTTCATAATTAAAAAAATAGTGCTTTTGTTTCATAAACAAAGACCAATTATTTCTCTCATTAAAATAAATGTTGTATAGATTTCATTTTTTTCTGATTCAGCATCATAGACAGTCTACCTACAGTATAATTGATGTAGTTGACGTTTCTTTACATCTCAATCATAGCTTCCAGGCTATCTAGTTCTACCTAGGTCAACTTTATAGGACTTGGTCACTTAGAACATAGTAACTTCGCCACTTTTCATGTCTTGTCAACCAAAATTTTACAAATCACTTCTCCGTTTGTATTGATTTTAAATTGTGCTGAATTTTGCTATTGAGAGAGCCATCTTTTTCTCATCTTTTCCTTGGATTAAGGAGTTTCTTTCTCTAGTGCTTTATGTATGTAGATGTAGATATGTGTGTGTGTGTGTGTGTGTGTGTGTGTGTGTGTGATATTAATGGAGCTATATAAATATATGTATATCTTTTATAATATGTGTGCATATTACAAAGATATACGCACAAATATAGTATGTGTGCATATTGTATTATACACATTTACACACACAAAGAGAATCTAAGAATTACAAAATCCCCAGCTCATCTGATCTAACTTCCAAGCAAATATAAAAATCACTTCTATAGAATTTGGTAGGCAGTATAGCATAATGGTAGTATATAGGTTCTGGAGTCAGTTGCTATGGGTAAGAATCTCAGTTATGTGTCATTTATGAGCTATGTGACCTGGGGTAACTTATTTAATCGTTTTGAACTTCAATGTCTCATAGATAAAATGGGAATAATAATACATATTTTGTAGGCTTTTGTTAAGTTTAAATAAGAATGCATGTAGAATATTAAGCACAGAGCTTGACATACAATAAATCTTCAAAATGTATCAATTATTGTTAGTATAATTATCTTTATTATGTCCATTAACCTCTCACTGTTTCAATAATGTTCTACTTTACAAGAAAATATGCCGTATTTTGGGGGCTCTGTCACTAGAAATACAGTGAGTCAAAATTCTTTCCCATAAACTCTACTTCTTTAAATTCTACTTGTTGGTCCTAGTTCTGCATCATTGCAGAAATTCTTCAAAGGTTGAAAGTAAATATCTTATTCCTCAGGACATTCTCTACTTATGAGTCTAAGTTCTAGAGTATAAATAACGTTGGAATTAGCTAACAGATTTCAACATCACCTACATGTTTATTAGATTGGTGAACAAATATTGGATATTCTGGTAGTTTGAAATGTTAAATGTTGAAGAGATTGATTGGTTTAGACATTTAATTAGCCTGTCTCCAGGCCTCTAATGAGTTTTAAAATCTAAGGTTGGGGTAAAGTCACGTATTTCTCTCACTTGCCTCTGGATGGAAGTTCCTGCCTTTACCAAATTTACCATTTTTGTTCTATATTTTGTCTTCTCTCTCTGTGTGGTCTCTTTTATCTACCACATTACCACTCAAGACATCATCACAATCCCTTCACTCAACCAAACTACTGCTATCTCTAAGCTATGTGAGTTTCAGACTTTAGTGAAGGTTCAGTTATGGTGGAGGGTTATACTTTAGAGCATTACAGCAAAAGACTTACAATTGAGCATTTACTATTGCTGTTCTTCTGAGAAAAGAACCTTCTTTGGTTACTTTTCTGCTTGGTCTCCAGACTCTTGCCATGTTGATAGGCCTCTTTCTCCTTTGTATTATTTACATTTCATCTCTGGTTCATGCTCAAAAATTCTTCAAATAACTGTTCATTTCTATTTCTTTTTCAGATTTTTAAAAATTTTTAATTTTTGTAGGTACATAGTAGGTGTATTATATATGGGGTAAATAAGAATTTTTGATAAAGGTATGTATTATGTAATAACCAAATTACAAAAAATGGAATATCCATCCCTTCAAGCATTCATCCTTTGTGTTTCAAACAACCCAGTTATACTCTTAGTTATTTTAAAATGTATAATTAAGTTATTACTGATATAGACACCTTGTTGTGCTACCAAATACTAGGTATTGTGATATCAAATACTGGGTCTTATTCATTCCTTCTATTTCTCTTCAACCCATTAACCATCTCCATCTTCCCCTCCACCCCCAACTACTGTTCCCAGCCCCTGGCAACCATCCTTCTACTCTCTATGTCCATGAGTTCAATCGTTTTGCTTTTAAGATATCACAAATAAGTGAGAACACGTGGTGTCTGTCTTTCTGTACCTGGCTTATTTCACTTAACATAATGGCGTCCAGTTCCATCTATGTTGTTGCAAATGTCAGGCTCTCGTTCTTTTTATGGCTGAATAGTACTCCGTTGTGTATAAGCAGCACATTTTCTTGATCCATTCATCTGATGATGAACACATTGGTTACTTCCAAATCGTGACTATTGTGACCAATGCTGCAATAAACATGTGAGTGCAGATACCTCTTCGATACACTGATTTCCTTTCTTTTGAGTATATACCCAGCAGTGGGGTTACTAAATGATATGATAGGTCAGTTTTTCATTTTTGAGGAACTTCCAAATTCTTTTCCATAGTGCTGATTTCATCTCGTAAATCTATCACAAAGATAACCACTTCTTCCTTCTCCTGAATCACTGCTGTAGCCTTTCTGCTGGCCTCCCTGCCCTCTTTTGCCTTTTTTCAATCCATCCTCCGTATTGCTGCCAGTGTTCTCTTCTCTATGCTTATAATAAAGTAAAAAGTCTATAGCACTGCCCACAAAGGCCTGAATGTTCTGGTCCCTGTCAACCTTTCCAGGCTTCTGAAAACTTCTCCCTCCTCACTCCCTGTGCTTCTTCAAGTACATCAAGTTCATTTCATCTCAGAATCTTTACACATGCCATTCTCTCTATGGAATGTTTGCCTTACTGTCTCCTTCACTACAGTTTACCATATATACATACATACATATATATATATATATATATATATATATATATGCTATATAAATTTAGTAATGTCTTCCCTGCCACTGCCATTCTAGGCCAGGTTAGGAAACCTCCCTTCCACTTTATAAGTGCCCTGGCACCTTATACTTTTTTATGACACGGTATTCTTGCAATGATCCGGTTGGTGTTATCCGTCCTAGTAGGCTATAACCTTCACTGGGACATAGACTATGTGCCAAATAAATGTTTACTGAATGAATGAAAGAATGAATGAATTTCAGTGTTTGTCACTTTTGCCGGATTGTAAATTTTTTGATTGCAAACTTTAGTTTCCTGCAAAGCCTAGCCCAGTACGTTGTATAAACTGTCTCTTTTATTCTTCTCCACATATAGGTTTGATTAAGTCAATAGATACTTGATGTCAAAATGAATTGGAATACCTGGAATTCCTCATTGTTTTTCAAAATCCCCTCTCTTATATTTATTATGTGTATTTCCTTTTTCTACTCCAAGTATGTTCCATATTTTGTCTCCTTCAACAATTTATCTTTGTGGCTACAGTAAACTTTTTTAGTTGACAATTCTTTCCCTTTTTAATGTCATAGCATTTATTCTAGAGCACAAATGGAATTGCTGTGTACTCAAAGCATCATACGATTGTAAAGAAGAACATTATCTTTACCTAAGGTGAGGTGTTCTCATTTCTGGAAGGCAAGGGGCGAGATAACAATCATGCATATGAAGAACTTGCATTGACTGTGAACATTAAATCCAATGATCAGATGATTGGGATTTGCATTATGCGTGATAATTCATCCATATTACTGCCTGTTGTCTTCATTTATGTAAATTAAAACTGCAGGGATTGCCTTTGTGTAAACTTTCCCTCAGTCTGTGAATGTGTCTTGCCAGACTATACAATTATTTGAAGAGATAATGGCAGAATTATATTAATTTGTTTTGAATTCTTGGACTCAAGGAGTTAATCACCCGCAGAGCTCAATTGTTGTTTGCAGAACTTGGAGTGTTATAGAATGAATAGCTCTGAAATATCTCTTCAGTGCTCAGAAAGAAAACCATGGTGGAGTGAGTATTAAAACGGGAGTCCAAAGCCTTACAGTGTAATCTCGACTCAGCCTCTGTGTAACCACCAATGCCTCACAAATCTCTCTGTACCTGTTTTCTCTTTTGTCAAGCAGACTTCATGTTATCACCACTCACTACTTACAGGGTTACTGTGAGGATCAAATGAAGAAAGTACAAAATGGAAGCTACATTAAAAATATATATACATCTGGCCAGGCCTGGTGGCTCAAGCCTGTAAACACAGCACTTTAGGAGGCTGAGGTGAGTGAATCACTTGAGCCCAGGAGTTCGAGACCACCCTGGCCAACATGACAAAACCTTGCCTCTACTAAAAAAATAAATAAATAAATAAATAAATAAAAATTAGCATGTGCCTGTAGTCCCAGCTACTTGGGAGGCTGAGGTGAGAGGATTGCCTGAGACTAGAAAATGAGGCTGCAGTGATCCGCAATTGTGCCACTGTACTGCAGCCTGGGTGATTGGAGTGAAACCCTGTCTCAAAAAAAAAAAAAAAAAAGTCCTGATTGCACAGCGGGGAGAGCCCCCTCCAGGCAAGAGGGGGACAAGAGGCGCCTTGGCAAGAAAAAGTGACTAGCTGCCCTTCGTTGTCAGCCAGGGACGAGAACACAGCCACACTCCCACCCGGCTGCCCACTGTCCCTCGGCGGCGATGTTGGCCATCAGTGCCTGAGGCCTGTGGGCCACCTACCACCGGCTCTTTGATAAAGTGGAGTTGATGCTTCCGGAGAAATTGAGGCCATTGTATAACCATCCAGCAGGTCTCAGAACAGTTTTTTTCTGGGCTCCAATTATGAAATGGGGGTTGGTGTGTGCTGGATTAGCTGATACGGCCAGACCCACAGAAAAACTTAGCACAGCTCAATCCACTGTTTTGATGGCTACAGGGTTTATTTGGTCAAGATACTCAATCGTAATTATTCCAAAAAATTGGAGTCTGTTTGCTGTTAATTTCTTTGTGGGGGCAGCAGGAGCCTCTCAGCTTGTTCGCATTTGGAGATATAAGCAAGAACTAAAGGCTAAAGAACACAAACAAAAGAGTTCCTGATCACCTGAACAATCTAGATGTGGACATAACCATTGGGACCTAGTTTATTATTTGGTTATTGATAAGGCTAAGCTAACTGTGAGTTCGGAAGCCACAATAAAACTAACTGTAACTAGCAGCTAGTGCTTGATTCAGCAACAAAATAAAGCAAACTTTTAATAGCAAAAAAAAAAAAAAAAAAAAAGAAAAAAGAAAAATCCTATCAGCAGAGGAACGTGGTGGAAGGCTCTTGGCACTTTAGATACCTTATCTCAATCTTCCCTCAGGTCAGTCTTATTGACAGTTGGAAATCATTCATTTCTCTTTTCACAACTTACTACTAACCAAACCAATGCATGAATCAGTTTTCAAGTGGAGAATCAAAGCTGGGAGGTTAAGGAATAAGAAAAAATAATGAGACCTCCAAATCATAAAACTCTCACAATGTGCAGTCATTATAATTTCTATTGGGATGAAGAGACTAATGTCATTCTCTTTACATCCTTCAGACAATAGATACATGTTATCAGCAAACCAGTCACCATTTATTGTCCAGGGATCAAAAATAACATGCTAAATATTAATGCAAATATATTTCCATTTTTGTGCAATATGAATATATTTCAAACATTAATGATTTCAAACAAAAGAAACCCAATTTTTTATTCCACACAATTCTTCATTTTGTTAAAAAAAGTTCTTTTGTACAAATGCAAGTGAATAAAATGTATTACCAAATATAACTTGAAATGTATTAAAATTAATTCCTTATACCTACTTAGTAAGTATGGTGGGATCTGCAGCACTCAAACTCAGAGTCCAAAGCTTCAGATTTGGCATGCATGCGAAGGTTAGGTTGGAAGAATTCATCTTTACTGATTAACCTTCATATTTTCTGCTTAATACATAATACATAAGCCTTTTACAATATACTTTGTTTCATACAACCCATGATTCTGAAATATATGCAAAGTATCTTTTAAAAAATTGGATTATTTTTAAACATATTTACTATTTACAGAATTAATGTGGTGAGTCTTTGTATTAGGTTGAATTTTATGAAGTTGGTGACATTTGAGGTTTTTTTGGCCTATAAAAATGGCAATTTCATATGGTTCAGCATAATAAAAAATGAAGAATTGTTCTTTTCATCTTAAAACAGAGTACACACATATATAAATAACCTATCTTGTTTATATACGAGCTAATGTGCAATTTTGGAGTAAGTGGGGGTGAGGGAAAGCAATCCAAGTCAGCATTTCGAATAGAAGGATAAATTCAAATTGTGCCCTCTGGTTACTCTAGCTGCCTTTTTGATCAGCGATATATGTTAATTAATACATTGGGGAATAAATATAATGTAAAAATTCTTTTCTTTACAGTAAGTTTGCTACAATGAAAACATTCATTTTATTTTCCTAAAGATTAAATACCATGTGAGTCATTATAGTGACACATCTGCTTAAAAGTATTTTCATTTATATTGTCACTGCAAATTAGGTGTGGGGGGGAGTTATGCTGCTATTTTGGTGTAATCTGTGTTGTGTGCTTTGGTTAATGCTCAGTGTGGATCTGGATCCCTATGGGGTAGTTGTGATGAAAGAGGGTAGAAGTTTTCCATGTGAGCAACCTAATCATAAGTTAGAAATCTTCATCCAAGTCATTGCTTAAAAAGCAGTTTTATTCTCCTGAAATTTCGGTTGGGGAGGTCAGATGAGCAGAGAATAGATTTTCAGTCTGCATCTCTATTGGATTCAGCAACAAGGTATTTTGTACCTTGCTATTCATTGCAGTTGAAAGTATAATCAATTCCTTCATTTATCTAGCCACTGACTTCTGAGCTGTAAAATGCATTCGAATACTGTGGGCACAAAAGGGAGAGCCTGGAAAGAGGGAAGATGTGTGTTCTTAAAAAGGGTTATTGCCAGCCTTTGATGAAGTCCGTGTTTGGCTGCCAAAGCTCAAATTTTAAAGGGTCCACTGAATCTGGGTCTTGAATAAACACACAACTTAGACCACCAAGGTGTAATAATGTGAGTCACTTTGAGTTTTGAAAAATATATGCCCTGTCCAAGTTTTGGCCTACCTACTAATTTGTTTTGAATGGTGCAGAATGCAGCTCCCATCTCTGACAGTGCACAGTTCTAACAGGTGTGGCAGTCAGCCTTACTGCTAAGTTTAGCTCTGCACGTGGGGATTTTACACTTGCAGCCCCTTGGAGAGGGGAGCACTGACAAATGACTGTGTGTAAAAGTGGAAAGCACTTGGGAATTTCACTACCAACCTAGATTTAGATCAGAGAAAAAGGGCCAATCTAAATTGGTTACAGACTATGAAGAGCTACATGTCTGGGGGAGGTGGCATTAATCTAACATCTATTCAATTTCTGTCTTATCACCGTTACAGTTCCTGAGAGATCATTTTGTGAAATTTGATGATCCCCCTTTAGGTGCAAGAGATAACTTATTTTTCGTTTTAGCAGGTAGAATTTAACACAGGTGTACTCATCCTTTGGTGGCAAGAATATGATCAGTTAAAGTTTCTAACTTGTAAATGGTAGTCATCTCCTTTGGTTTCCCTTTGAAAAGTTAGTTTTAAAAATTAAATTATCTCCACACTACTAGCAGAATGGAATTTTTGAGAATGGCATTTTTCAAAATACAATTCTCTTACAGATAATAAGTAAAACACTTCATCTTTCGGCAGGGATCAGGAAGGGAAGAACATTCTCTGGGAAATACAAATGTGACATTTGAGGACATTGATCTTGATAAGGATTAGTTGGAGGATGTTGTTTAGTCCTTTCCTCCTTTGTCTCTCATTGTTTTTTTTTTTTTTTTAAATATACTCAGATCTAAAGAGTTTAATGATGACAAATAGCTCTCTAATCGTTTTTCAGCAAAAAACAAAACAAAACAAAACAAAAAAACCCTGGGACTCAGAAGGCTTGAAGGTTTTGTCCAAAGCCACATTCAACAACAGAATAACAAAATCATTTCATTTCTGCTCTAAAGTACAGTTGAGGCTTGTTTGCAAAGGCGCCTTTTAAACAAAGCTCATATTTGTGTGCAACTCTATCTGAGAGGGTGATAGGGAGAAAGAAAGAGACAAAGAAGCTGCATGGATATAGAATTAACATGGATATAATACGAACATTTTTCTCTCTCTAGATGAGCTTGTTTACTAGAAACTTCTTTTTTGCAAACTTACTCGTTAAACTGAAACAGTTTCTTTAAATCTCTTCTTTTATTTAGGACAAACCTGATGGCCTAAGATGATCAAATCACTGCTGTTCAGGGAAAGGGCTCGTGGTCCCTTCCATTAACCTCTGATATAATTTAACTTCTTATAAAGGTGATTCTTTCCAATCAAAACACTAAATCAAGACCTCTCCTTTTCTGGGGATGTTCTCTTTGTATGATCAGCCCTTTCAAAAGCAAATCTTCTTTGTTTGTGTTTGGAGCTTCCAGAGACCCTGTGTTTCTCACAACCACTGCGTATGAATTTCTGTGGTCTGAGGTTTGTGCAAGGCCCAGGCGCTGTTTGGTTACTATGGAAACCAGCCCTCCCAACCAGCTGTCATTTTCTATATTCCTTTCATAGTGAGTCTTAAACGTTTTAGATAGCCCACAAGCAGAGTAAAGATGAAGAATAACACAAAGAAAACATGAACAGCTTGTTGTTAAATGAACAACTTGTGGATTCCCTACATGGGAAGCTTCATGCAAGAAAGCAAGCTCTCCTGGACATCCATATATGAGGGTTTACCCAGATCCACTAAAGCTCACCTTCATCCTGGCTTTAAGGAGTGGGGATTCGACTCTGCATCTCTACATCTGTGAACTGAGGAACACTTTCTGTGCTGTCAGAGTTGATGGGTGAGATGACATGTTTAAGCCGAAGAAGCATTGTGAAGAGCAGGATGAGGAGAATGGCCAGGAGGCTCAGGAATAAGCCCACATACATGTACAGGTTGGAATACTTATCTGAAGAGGTATCAACCTCTGTTGCCAGAGTGGGAAAATGGGCACGCCCAGTGAGATTTCCATGGTATCTAAAATGTGCCTCCGTCATCACTCAAGACTTGAGTTGGTATGTGTTTCTATTTGATTTCTATTGCCCTTGAGGCATTTCACAGTCACTTAGACTGTCTCTAAATTTATTGGACGTATTCTAACAATCTGATAGAAACCAGTCACTCTCAGAGCTAAGGCAATAGCACAGAAGCAGAAAATGGTAATGCTATAATTTGACAATTGCCACACCCTCTCTATCCTTCAGCACAGCAATCACCCCTCGAATAGGTTTTATCAAAGCTTCTTAATCAATTTTTAAAAATATAAATAAAGCTTTATTTTCTACACTCCTACTTTTATACTGATTAAAATAAATATGGGTGAAACTGCTTTATAATACTGTTATTAGAACAATAATCTTTTAGAGTATTATGTCAATCTTTTGCTCTGTTTTGGTAGACAGAGAAAGGGCTCGTTTTACCTATACCTAATCGAGATGTGTGGACTAATTATGTGGATTTAACTGGGCTCTTCTGTGAGGAGACTCTCTGAAGGCTTTTGTATATATCAGGCTCAGCATATGTGAGTTTTCACCCTGTTTGTCTGATTTCTGAACCTTCTCTAAGGATGGAGATTGTAAGGTTCCTGCTCAGCTGCACAGCTGGAGGGTTGTAAGTCTAGAGAACGTGAGCTTTCTGTAGCTTTGTTGATATCCTTCCCTGTAGGCTGGAGGGAAAGTGTTGTCAGACCTGGTAATTTTCAAATGAGGGAGGTCTCAGAGCTGCTGACAGCAGTAGGCCCAGGCTCAGAAGATTTGGCTCTTTAGATTATTCAACAGATATTGATTTTCCTGAAAATCAAAAACAAAAGTAAAATAGTCAGTTGTCTCTAAGAAAAACAAATGGCAATTTATTTTGAAAAAAAAAATTGATAAACTGCAAAATGGTTTGCTATAAACAAACCGATTTTAGAATGCTTTTTCTTCTGTGTAAAAAATAGCTTTTA